GTGGTAAAAAGATACTCTACACCGTCTGAAAAACACATTGATCACTATGATTTAAAACAGTCTTTAAAAAGCAAGCTTGCTCTATAAAAATACCACACAAAATTATTACCACATGCATGGAATTTTGGTAAAACTCAAATGATTTTGTTCAACCCAACTCAAAAATTCAGGGGCAGATGAAACAATACATTCTAGCAAAGCTAGAGTGTCATTTTCAGCATGATGGCCACTATCTTGCTCTCTCCCTTGAATATAACGATACAGATCAACAAGTTTATGGCTTTTCAACTTCTCCTGTCCTCTAAATAACTTTTTCCTGATACCTCCATTCTTAATGCCTATGTTTTCGTCATTTGTTAGAATATTTTTTCTCTTTAAGGGAAGAGGACAGTCTGCTGATATCTTCAATTGCTTTGGAGTTGTTTCATTGGCTTTCTGCATTTCTTTAGATTCTTGTTCATTGGCAATATTATTTGGGTACCCTGTCACTGAGCTCGTTGCTTGAAGCTCATCACTCACGCTCCGTACCAAGGAATTACTACCTTGTGCATTTGGAGACCCTCCGATTGGAGTAGCAAGTGGTGATATAGCATGGATACCAGGTACAGTTTGAGAACTACACCAAGATGAGGGGCTTATTGGGTACAGAATTCTAAATGCCATCAGAGAATCAGCGCAGATAATGCTGTCTGGAAACGTCTGAAAGAGGAGGAAAGCCACTAGGTAAAAAATTTGAACTGCATCAATATAAAAGACAAAGAAAGAAGAAAGGGTTGCATTATTTTCATCAATACATTTCACAAAAAAGATAAATCATACCTGACTTTTTGCGGATAACTCTGCTTTCAACAAAGGGAAGTCAAATTTAAATCCATTGTGAGCCACAAGGCACACGGGAGAAGGCATGCGCTCTAGAAACCCAATTAATAATGCACACGCATCTTCATTAAATACTGGAATATCTTCCAGCATGAAATTGTCCAATCCTGTCAAATGATAGTCAAGATGTAGTAACGCAACATTGTGTTTGAAGGTTATGTAGTTCTTAATTTATTCAAGAACTCACCCGTAATTTCTGTAGCTTCAAAATCTATTCTCTTGTGAGGATAAAAGCACAAATTTAGTTTCTGAAGAACTCTCGGTACTTTTGCTCGAGTCTTGTGGCAGCTCATAATGTGTTGAACAAGGACACCCACAAAGGAGAGCTCTGTTATTTTTGTCTTTCCCACCGAGCTCGGCAAACCACTACTTTCAAGGTCCATGACGACTATCGATTTGAAGCTTTCCATTTTCTTTGATAAATCAAATTAAGTCAGACGATCCAGAACACAAATCAACAGACAGAACAAAGCTTCAGCTTGAGGAGGTAAACAAGCAGCAGACCTGGAGCTGACGTCAACAAACAAGCGTGTGTTGTACTGCCAATAACGCATTATTTTCACGCTGAGAAAAGGGCAAGGGAATGCCACCAATGGCCACTGAATGCCTGTTTTGTGGTAACAGAAGAAGGGAAAAAAAGAACTCTCTTACAAACATTTCATTGTGCTTTATTGGTTTAAACTGGAATATTAAAGGAAGTCTGGTACACTGCCAATCAATATAAAACGACATAATGTAAAACAATAGATATACAAAATGAGATGATTCAATGTAGACTACTTTCTGAGCTACTTTCTATAATGCAAGTCAAAGATTAAATTATTTTACAACATGATATCTTAATAAATTTTTGAGTAGAAGATTAAACAATTCCAGAATACTTTTTACCATCAAAAGGTTAAGTAAATAAAATAGTTAAGTAAATATCAGTAGGAAAACTCGTTCTTTGAAAGCACAAATTCACAGGAGACCAAGTCATGCAATGCTGAATTTGAACTAAGAATGAAGTCTGCACAATTTAAGAGAAGCGTAATCTTCCACATTAAGGGGTGTCTTAATCATGGTCTTAAAATCACAAAAATAAATAGTTACATAATATATTTACAATTTACCTAAGCAGCATTTATCACAAGGGTCATTTATATACAAGCATACCTTACATTTTAGTGGTACGTATTGTCATGTCATATCGGTCATATGGGATTTGCCACCAGGATAATATTTACAAAACATCTTGGAGCGGACCACTATTCGAGCAGCCAGTCATGGTATCTTGTATTTACAGAACAACCTGAAGAAGATGACACAATTTCGACATTAGATTTGTACGCAGTGCAAAATCACGCCTGGGCGACCCCCAAAAAGTCTTCCAACTCACTCACCTGCAAGTTCGGTCGTCCCCAGTCGTCAGGTCCCGCCACCGCCACGTCACACCGGGCTCGGTCGCGTCATCCTGGCCCGCTCCAGCAGAGCCATGGGCAGGGGCAGGAGGGCCTCGAGCAGGAGGCTCAACGCGGCGCCGGCGAGCGGACTCGCAGCCACGACAGCCGCAGCCACCGCATCCACGGAGTCCACACCTTCCAGCCGAGCGGCGCGAGCGTCAGCGGAGAGCGTTGGCAGTCCCAGGCGCCCGGCGACACACTGCAATGCACAAAGACGCACCCATCTTTAACCACCCCGCGATACAGCCCCAACAGGAGGCGCGCTGCCCTGCAGACGTCCCGCGTCGCCGACCCAGCGGCAGCAAACGGGCTTAGGTTGAAAGGGACTGTTGACTTATCAGATCACATCGCACCCCGCCGTCTCTGTCTCGTCAGAAATCGCCCTCGCTGGCGCCGCCCGCGCATCGCCTGGCGCTAGCTGGCGCCGCCCCCACCCTTCCCCCAACATCGCTCGCACCCCCGTATGGTCCCCCCGCCCGTACACACTTTGCAACCACCACTACAGGAAGTACCACTCTACGTACGGTTTGTTTTCTTCGATCGCCGACGAGGTGGTTGACGTTGCCGACGACGCCGTGGACGTAGTGAGTGCCGTCGACGAAGTGATCGATACGATATTGTCTTTTGCAGTGCTGCGATGGTGATGATGATTGTGATGATGGTGGTGGTGATGGTGGTGGTGATGATGATGGTGGTGGTGGTGATGATGCCGGTGCTTCTTCTTGCTGCCACGCACTTGCTTGCACTCCGGCTTCCTGCACGGCGTCGCGGACGTCACGGACATGGTGGCCAGCTGCCAGCCCATCTGCACGGGGCAGGGCACGGAGGTGGCGGCCAGCGACAACAGCATCCCCAAGCCGTCCATGTTCGTCGAAGAGTAGCAGCACGGGCGAGTGCCAGCGAAAGCACTCGAGGCGCGCAGCGGTACGATGGCACTTGTCCGTACACCGGTCGTGCGTCCAGGACAACGAGCAGGCCGTGTTGCGCATAGAGTCGACGAGGGTGATGGTGGCGGCGACGCGGACCGGGCCTGGCCCGCGGATCGACGGCGACGGTGGGGAGCTCGGTGACGGGGGAGCTCACAGGCGCGATGCTCGCCCGGGGACCTCCAATAGGGGCGGTCGCTGCTCCGACAGGACCACGGTGCTCGCGGCGGGCGTCGTGTTGGTGGCTGGAGGGTCGACGCGGAGGACCACTTCTACTTGGTGTGCGGGGTGTCCACTGTTTACCAACACTGTCTGCGGCGACGCCAGGGTGTCAGGGCCCGGGGGCCTGGGCGTGCTGGGGAGCGCCGGGGATGAGCGCGGAGCGAACGTCCAGCGGGAAATGACGCTTGATCGGGGAAGCCGTCCTCTTTTTGTAGGTGGCGCTGCCGCTGCAGCTCGCCTCTCTCTCCGCGCTCGGAGTGGACTGGCTGCTGGACGGCCGGACGGCCGAACAGACGGACGTGGGCTCGAGGGATGAGGGGGGACGGAGCAGAGAGCAGAGTCTGCCCTGCAACTCTGCTTTCAGACCAGCTTTCGGTACTTTTTCACATGTATATTATCTTTTTGGTTTTGATGAAATGGTAGGTGGAGTTTTGGATTTAGGCTGGCTGTGGCTGGGTGAGGCGGGGGTTGTTTCGCTGGTTGCATTCGGCTTCTTACAACGGCTGACCTTGGCAGGGGGGAGGGGGGGATCACCCTTTCGCACCTCTCGCACTCCTACCCATAAAACTGCGCTCGGATTCAGAACATGGAGTCTTCATCTAGGCGCTCCAGCGAGACTCCCGGTCGGGTCCTCTCTCTCGCAAATGTAAGGGGTTTGGATATAACGAGGGAGTCGTTGGGCGCCCCACCCCCCCCAAACGATAAAGGTGGGCCTGGGCCTGAAACATGCCACCTGCAGTAGGGCGGCTAGAGTAGAGGGCGGAATAAGGGAAGCGTTCAACACACAACCAGCAAAGGCTGGGGCTGGGACACTTTCACGCTCGTGTTTTCGAGTTTTCCCATTCTTTACTGCCGTACGTCATACTACCCCACGAGCATCTCGCTCGCACCCCAGAGACAGCTCCTTTGATCGCACACTCTGTCCCTCGGCCGACGTCACACCGTACCGGGGACCCGGGGTGATCGGCTGGGCTGGACCAGGTCAAACCCCCCGGCCCCCGGCCGACGCATGGCCAGGCCAGGGCACGCCGAGGGGAAAGGCACTCCCCAGTCCAGAGGGCAGGGCTCCGCCTGAGCCGCCGAGAGACAAGAGCCGGGTGGTGACGCTGGTGGTTGCCCCGGCACAGGCCTTTAAAAAACACCCCCTCCCGACGCGCTTGCACCGACGTTGGGCCCAATCTCTGGGTCGCCGTCAACACGACCCGTCCCGCCCGCCCGGCCCCCGCAGCTCGCGGGGGGTAGTATGGGAGCGGCCGAGTGGCCACCGCGGGCCAACGGCTGGAACGCGCGGAGGGTGCAGGTTTATTAGCATCTCTCTCTCTCTCTCTCTCTCTCTCTCTCTCTCTCTCTCTCTCTCTCCCGCCGCAAGTCACTTTTATCTCTCGCACCAACCCCCAGGCCTGGCCCCTGCGCCCCGCTGACCCTGCTCGCGCGTGTGCTAGAACGTTCACGGCTGCCTACGGTCCCCGGGGCGCGGCCGGCCGTCGAATGGAGGGTAGATAACGGCTGCGACGGATCGAGTTTCCGAAACACGCCGCAACTATACCTTCCATCTTCCATTCAGAACACTCCGAAGAGGGGGGAGATAGAGGCCGAGAAAATGCAACGCGGGACTAGGCTGCCGGCTGCAGGGACGGTGCGGCGAGCGACACTCACACCCACCACACGTTCATGTGAACTTCACGGCGTGCATCACCTGGCGATAGCATGTAAGAGTGACGTAATGCGTTTTGTACTCACCACACCCGTGAGGACAGAAGTGCCCAGGACGATGCAGTTCCTCGCCGACTTCAGGTCGGTGCCCCGGAGGTAGGTCAGTCCTGCGCAGATGGTAAACGCCAATCACAATCGGCTTGTGCGGATATCGAAAACCCGGAGCCTCTGCTGCTGCGAGAGATTATGCAGCACGCCGCCCCGTCCCTGTCGCCTTTTTACAAGGAAAGCGAACCGGTAAACAAACACTGGGTAAGCAGCGGCCAGGGGCGGGGCGGGGCTTGCCGGTCCAGACCGGCGCGGAGACCGTCGCGCGCAGCCGCAGCAGAGAGCGCAGCAAAAGGGCCGGGCTTATCAGCTGTTCCCCGGACTCGTTCTCTATTTTCGGAACGGTGCGCCTCCTTCACGCAGTTAAACCCCGTCGAGCAGGGCTGTCGCCCGACGGACTGCTGCTCCGCCACCCCCTGCAGCCCCGCGTGGACTCACCTTGGCCCGCCCCCGCGCCCAGGACGGCCAGCCCCACGCCGGCCAGCAACGGCTGCGGGATGCTGGCGAGCCCCGCCGCCAGCGCGGGGAAGAAGGACAGCGCCAGCAGCAGCGCCCCCGCGAGCCTGGCCGCCGTCACGGGCCCCGCCTGCAACAAGAGCACACAGCCGTTAGCGCTGTCGGTCGCGGGCGTCGCGTGGCGCTGCCGGACCCGTCGTCCCCTCACCTGCGTCAGAGGAATGACGCCGGGGGTCTCCTGGCCGCCGCCGACCAGGGACAGCGCGCCCCAGAACGCCGCCAGGAAGGAGACGCCGCCGCCCACCAGGGTGCCCCTCTGCAGCTCGCGCCCGTCCGGAGCTCGACCTGAGGACCACGAAGTGGGGCATGAACAACAACAGCAGGCGACCCCATAGCGGCACGCGGCCAACAGGGAATCTGGGGAACCTCACCGACGGAAGCGGACGCCCCTGCGGCGTAGAACGTCGTGAGGCTCGCCGTGGTGTTGGCCACCAGCGCCGCGGCCACCGCGGACGCCACCACCTCCCAGGACACGCCGCTCAGGCTCGGCCACCCCCACGGGGCTGCAACGAGGAGCGAGGGGTTAGCTGATGTGAGGAAGGCCCGGGCCGGGGCCACCGACTAAGCGACACATTTTAAAACCATCTCTAATACATAAGGAAGTTAATAGAAATTTACACATCAGTGCAAGTGTAACATCAACTCACTTACCCGGCCAAGGGATCGCGAAGACCTCGCGGGCGTGCACGCGGTCCTCGCGCCACTCGGAGGTGACGAGGCGGTTGCTCGGGGAGACGAGGCCCGCGGCGGTGAGCAGCGCGCACGCCGACCAGCCGACGAGCAGCGTCACGAGCACGCACAGCAGGGACACGGCGGGGAGGACGCGCGCGCGCAGCCCGCCCCGCCGCACGCTGCACACGGGCACGGGCACGGACAGGCAGCGCAGCGCCACGCCGCACACCAGCACGCCCAGCGCGCCCCTAGAGGGACAAGGAGACCGTCACGAGCACGCACACGGGGGACAAGATCACGCCTGCACTCGGGCACGGACAGGCAGCGCCAGCGCCACGCCGCACAGCACAGCAGCGCGCCCAGCTCGCCCCTGGAGGGACAAGGTTTCCGTCGTGACCAGGGCCGTTATCAGCAGCGCCGGCTTGGCTGCGCCGGTCAGCCGTCCACCCCTCGGACACGGCGCGCGTGGGGGTGGTCGTCAGACTCGTCCATGCTCGGCAAGGTGATAAGCACAGGCGTCGGATGGGCTGCCTATGCCGCAGGCGCCCCCAGGCGGGGGCAGAGGGTGATCCTGTAAGTGGTACTTACGACAGTGCGCCGATCCAGTTCCCGGAGGCCGCGTTGATGGTGTACCCCACGAGGGGCAGGGCGCTGAGGAAGGTGGCCACGGCGGCAGTGATGGGCGTCTGGAAGCGCGCGATCAGCCGGGGCAATCCTGAGCAGCAAGACATGCACGTCAGGGGCAGGTCATCGCAGCGACAACGACCCCCTCCCTCCCCTCCCCGCACCCGCCGGCACTCACCCGCCGCCGACATGGCCACCGAGAGCGCCGAGGCGACGAGCAGCACGGCCTGCACGCGGCGCGCGCGCGGCTGCCACACGGGCTTCATGTTCTCGTGGCCCATGGCGAACTGGTCGGCCAGCGAGGGGCAGGCGGCCGTCTCGACGTCCTCGCCCTGGTCGTCCTGGCCCAGGCCGTGGTCCGCCACCAACAGCGCCGCGGCGATCGAGGCCACGCACGGGCCCTGCACCAAACCAATCCTACCAACACGATACGCAACTTATCATTATTTGCAAAACATAAAACAAAAATTTGAAACATTACCAGCCAAGAGAATTAAACGTTTTTCCCCACGACGGGGCACTCAAACTCACACACCCTAGTCCGGCAGACGTGTTGTTGACGAGGGTGGCGAGCGCCGTGGCGAGCAGGAGGCGGCAGAGCAGCTCGGCGCGGGCGGGGTCCTCGGAGTGCAGACACAGGACGGGCGACAGGCAGTCCACCACCAGCAGGCAGGGCAACAGGGCCAGCAGGCAGTGCTGCAGGGCAGTTGCACGTAAAGTATTCAAAACCAAATTTACATTACTTTTCGACGATTTCCAAACAATTTTTTTTCAATCTTTTTCTGAAGTTTTAGTGTAATTTATCTAGTCTTTTAATTTCCAGAGTGAGCATTTTCATTTTTAATGCATTTCTTCTAATTTCCTTTGATTCCACATATGCGCGGTACAAGTCGTATGGACCCCCGAGAATTTAAAGCAACGTCCGCATGACCTATAATCGTAGACGTTTCTTCCGTGCTTTGGGCGACATAACGTGCAAACAAAGCGACACTAATTACGGCTCCACACACGCGTTCCCGACTGGCCACACACACAATCACTTCCGCCCCGCCCCGCCCGCCCCGCCACAGTGCGAGCAGCGATGGGGCGGCGATAACGACAAAAACAACCATCCCGACATCCAAGGCGCATCATAAAACGGCGATCCGACCTGATAAAAGACAAAACGAAGAGAGAGACTCGCGTCGTCAAAAGCAACAAACGCCTCCGCGCCGCTGCTGGGCCCAACATGATACCACAGGACCAAATCGAACACGTGTGACCCCGAGTTATCAGCACCCTCCACCCCTCTCCCAGATACAACAACGGGGGAAGCCCCAGCAGAAGCATCTTTGCGGCGGGGGAGGTGGGGGCGGCGGGGGCGGCGGGGGCACGCCGTCGTCATGCCAGGCGGGGACACAGGCGCCTGCTCGACAAACTCCCGGTGTAATTACCTCCACGCGGCCCCGGCATACGCGCTCCAATAATAAGACCGCGTGGCATGTGACCGACAAACGATATCTGGCTGTGCGGCCTGGCCGAGCAGGTTATTCACCCGGTGGGACCGCCGCGGGCAGGGCGGCAGCAGGGCCGCAAGTAGTAGCACTGCGTACCGACATGAGATTGTCTCTCTAGAGTAAACCCGCCCCGCCCACCACGCCCCGCCCCCGCCGGACACCACCGCGGTCACGTGCTTGGCGTGGGCGGCGCTCTTCTCTTACACGGTTTAGCACTCGCGTGCCCCGGGGGGAGGTGGGGCGCATGGGGGAGTGCGCCTGCACCCGCCACATATGACATACGACATACCGATCTGTGGCCGGCGCGGCGTCACGTTGCGACACGGCGCACGGCGCACGGCCCGGTGACTCACCTGCACGGCCAGCAGCAGCACCACCAGGGCGGGCGGCTGGTCGTGAAGGCCGTAGAGGAGGTGGGCTGGCCTGGCGGGGGCGGCCGGCAGCCCCTGCGCCCTCGCCGCAGCCGGACAAGCGGGACAAGCGTCCTCCAGGCAGGCCTCGGCCAGGGCCTCGGCCTGGGCGCGCTCGAGGAGGGCTCGGACGTGCAGTGCCTACACAGCAAAGGTGGTAAGCATCCAGAGACAAAGTACAGGACCCCCCCCCCCCTTGCAAGATTTGCAACGTTCAGCAGCACAACTTACCTCAATCCCGGGCTTTTCCTGCAGGTTCGCCGCCCCCTCGTCTGCGACCTTGGTGTCCATGGTGAGGATGAAGTACTGATCAGAGGGGTGCTCCTCGAGGCAGCACGGGGCGGTCACGCCCTCCACAGCCAGCAGGGGAGGCTCCATGGCCATGGCCGGAGGCACGCCCTACCTCCTGCAGGGCCCCATGTCCTCGCCGAGGTCCTCTCGCCCACGCGGCCCGGCCGCCCGCGCATGCCACAGGTGTCCGGGCGGTGTCAGCTTGCGCGCATTGTGCAGCCGTAGGACTAAGCACCCTGTCGACACCAAGCACCTCTCTGCGTCCTGCAACATGCCGCGCACGCCGTGTTGACAACCTCGTCCCGTGCCGCGGCCAGGCCGCCGCTGCCGGCCACGGGCACACCCCCCTAGGGAGGGGTGGGGGTGGTCGTGTGTGGGAGCGAACCTTCACTCGGCGCTGGGCCTCGCGGCGAAGCAGGCGAAGCAGGCGAAGCGTCACACAATCTCCTCTCGGACAAACACAGCGTCTGCTCTCCAAACAGGGCCCCCGTCCGGACCGCGCCGGCCACAGTGCTGCCGCTGGTCTTCCCTCTGAGGCCCGGCACTTGCCCGTCAGAGCGAGCCGCACAAGATCACGCCGTCAGAACGCGGCCGCCGCGTCGTCCGTCACTCGGTCGTTCCGTCCCGTTCCGTCCGCCTCGTTCACAGCCCCAGCTCGGTTGTCATCGGACTGCCTCTGCCTCTGCCGCCCGCGGCCGGGGCCGGGGCCGGCTGCGGCGGGGGCACGGACGGGGCCAGGGCCGGGGCGCGAGGCGAGGCGGCCATGGTGGACGGACGGGGATGAACTGAACCGAGCCCAACTGATACCACGGCGCAACGCCACGCCGCAGCTGGGCGGGACTCTGCGAGGAGGGGCCTGCCGTACACACACCACACCACCACGAGTGTGCAACGGTATGGTCGGGGTAGATTCCGGCACTATCACGTGGGGGTGGTGCCCCTGCTACCCCCAATAGAAAAAGCGCACTGGACTTCCCTTGTTTGTTGATAGAGTGGAAGAAGAGTTCATTCAAATTGCGGCGAGAATCAATGGGTAAAGTTTTGGGAGCACTAAGAGGTGAACAAAGTGAAAATTACCGTGCGTATGCATACATAAGGATTTTTATTAAATGTGTAACTAGTCACTCACTCCAATGTTCAAACATTGTAGGTCTGAAGAACATAGAGCAATACTGTTTTTATTTCAGGCAAATACAGACAGGCACCAATAATTGGAGTAGACCGTGGCTGGGTTGGAGTCGTGGCTGGTGCAAACATGATATTACTTTCCTCTCAAAGTCAATATCACAAAGCAAGCCATGATAAAGACCCTAATCACAGATTAATAATTGCGCGAGTTGAATTGGAGTTTTAAAATAATCAAAATCCACTATAACTCTGCCCGAAGAAATAAAACAATAACAATTTTCAATTAATCATTTCACTATTACAGTATCCTATATTGTGTTCAGCATTGTTAATGAATGAAAGCAAATTGTTTCCAGCAGTAAGTGCTGACATTGTTTCAACATATCTATCATGAATAACAGCTAGCATTCATTCAAATTTAAATTTATGATTTAGCATCAGGCCTATAAAAAAAGCCCATTGTAATCTATCATGAAATTTTAGCATAGCAGAAGCAATAAAAAAATTGGCGACAATTACAGAAACCAAAACAAAACATTTTACGGCATGAAACATTGCAATACCAAAATGGGGTGGGCAATTGATGATTTGAAGTTGATTTTTGCACAATCTATGTTCAATTACTAGCTACATTAAAACAAACCATATCGAGCAGAGCTAACTTCTAAGATGACCTCATGTTAGCACCAAAACAACACGCACCTTATAACTATTTCTAAGTCTAATATAGAGGCGGAGGAAACAATATCATGTAGAAACCAAATTATGACATCCACACACCAAAAAGCGGCCCAGATATAAAAAAAAGAAGCAAAAATAACAGATCCATTGATACTGTTCCTCAAAGTTTGTTCTCTCACATTCAAAACTATTGCCTAGTATGTAGTTGTAAATCTTCTTTCCTCAGATCAAAGGAAAGTATCCTTTTTCGTACTCTAAATTTGTAGCTGATAACTTAAAATGTTCTTAAGAAGAAACAGCTGATATCACTGAAAATACCCTTTATAATATTTGCAAGAAAGCCATGCTGTTTCTTGAACTATACATAACAATTGACTTTTTAAACAGTGTACAAATGTTCTACATAAACACAAGACAATGAAGTGATAAAATGTTCCAGGGCTGACTGATTTAGAACAGAGTCACGAGCAATGGCTGTACAGGTTACATTCCAGTGCATAGGATCTTGATTTTTTCTGAAACGTGATTAAAATGTACCTATCTTCTCTCTTTAATACAGTAATTGTAAGCAGCATTATTAAAGAGATGAGACTTGTAAAATAATGACATGATCAGAATTAAATAAATACAATGATGCCCAAAAATATCTAACCATCCTGCAGAATGAGAGAGATAAATTTGACAGTGGTTATGAAGTTAACAAAAGGATAAAAAGAATAAAAGTCCGATGCAAACAGGAATAGGTGAGCATGCTTTCAGAGCATCGTCTTCCAGTGAAGTACCACAATTTCATAGGGAAAGTGGAGACAAAAGGCATCATGAGTTGTCAGTTTAGAAGCAACCCACAAGTAAAATTACATATCATAAGAAGCAAAGCGCAGATATTTTTTTTTTAGGGGACAATAATAACAAACAGACTAACCAAGTGCAACAACACAAAATGGGAAGAATGACCTCTCACATAAAGAAATGTTTGAAAGCATGGATACATAGAGTCAAAATCCCAAAGAGAAGTAAACTGTACCAGTCCGGAAATTTCTACTGGGCTGTCTAAATCTCTTTAAACTGTTGATTTCCTGCTTGCTTTAGAATTTGTCAAACAGATGACAGCCATATCACACAGAACTTACTTAGAATATGTTACAGAGAATTGAATTGAGCTGTTAAGTTTTGTATATGATATGAACTTATAATGCACAAGAACATAATGCTGAAAACTAATGCAAAGAAAGAAAACACACTTCTATAGAAAGAAAAGCTAAAGATTGTAACAAACTTCAATTAGGACGCAAATTCTTCATTGCTGAGCCAGGTATCCTATTGTCAATTTTTAAATGTACTAGAGTGTAGATTTCACTGTCTTTTACATATTAATGGCTAAATGTAAATTAAGTGTAATAAGGCTAAATTTTAAAAGAATCTCAAATTTTAATAATGAAACTGCCAGTAAAATTGAACTGAAATGAATACCTATAAAATATATAATCTTTTCTTCTCGCACCCCATCACAGCAATCAGATGACCCACTAGAAGGGAGGTTCTGAGAAACAATCCATCTCACCCATTATATACAATGTAACATCTGTACATAGTCTTCAACGTCTAAACATGTGGGATATTTACAACACTTGACCTTTGGAAAAAGGAATTTTAACAAAAATGTTAAGTTACTTATTACGGTCCAGCCGTGAACAAGTTAACATTAACACACCCGATGGCCGAAATATTGACGTTTGGTCCTTCCCGTGATCTTCACGGCTTAAAACAGGCTAACTGACACATGGAAGTAAACAATGCAGACGCAGACTGTCATATGGTTCCTATTCCATGAATCAACAGCACAGTACTGTACACAGCCTTGCACATAAATGTTCTGATGGAAAAGGTTCTACCCTGCAGTTTTGCATTAATGTATGTAAGCCATACATTAACAACAACAAAATGATTCACTGATATGTTTTTGTTTTTACATAGAAATTATTTGAGGAACAGAATATTACTGTTTGATTCAATAGACATTAAGTTTAGTACCCTCCCAACCTCCAGAAAGGATTGATTGTGAAGTGCTATGTATGCATAACAGATGAACAATTACAGCTTACTATGTATAGTATAACACTTAATATGTAAGCTTGAGAAGATAGATAAAATAACATCCCAAAATCGTGTGATAGTGAGTGATATGAGATCAAATGTAAATTCGCATACTTCACAGCAGGATGAACTTTTCCTACCAAAACCTTAGGGAGAGGCCTGCTACACAATTGTTTTTGAAGATTAAATTAATACAAAAACAAACAAAAGCTTATTGTCTGAACACAGTAGTAACATCACTTTTCTAAGATAGATTAAATATTTGAGAAAAGCTGTTGCTGCAGTTCTAGTTGTTACTGAATAGAAAGAATTATTTACGTCCAAGGCTGTGTACAAACGAGATGTAAATTTCAAACTATCTAAAATTAACTTGAACATATTTATAATTTGCATGCATGTAAGTCAAGGAAAAAAAAACAGAAAAAAACAAGGCTACTAACAAAAAGTTACGGGTAAAACTGAGCCACCATCAAATTTGTGAGTACGTAATCAACTCCAGGTATTGTACATTTAGAAATAACTCTTAATTTAGACTGAGAGCAAATCACAGCTAACTCAGAAACTAGAAAATATTATCCAAGTCCTTAAAGAATATAATAGAATATTGCAAGGTAGATCTTATAGAATGAAACAATTCTGATACGCATAGGAACAGAATGTGGTGATAGTGAAAAAGAACAGCAGAAATGAAAGAGAAAACTTCCTGGGAATGATAGATGTTATCCCATCATGTCATATTCCTAGAGCTAAACAATACATAAGAAGCTTTTGCTTCTATCTAAGGCTAGCGAGAGGAAAATCGATCAAGGGGGTGCTGGAATGACATTCTCATCAGGCCTATGCATTGCCGACACAGTCTGGAAAGGTACATATAAGGCTGTACTACTAACAGCAGATTTTACAACAGACCCTGGATTGCTGCCAATGATTTCCTCAACTCTCTCTTCATTCTCATTTTGCAACAAATACTTAAAAAGTTCATAGGTAGACCAGCAAATTGCAGTAGATGGACATACAAATAAGACCCTTGCAACCAAACCTCGGAAAAAGCCTTGTAAACCTCCTAACCGATAAACTGTTCGGACAGCTTCGAGAAAGCCATCTGTTTTCGCTGCTTGTTGAGTATTTAAAAGTGTTTTACAAACATCAAGGGGAGTTGTTATAGCAGCAGCCACTCCTCCTGCAATACCTCCTGACACCATATGAGCCTTAGGATTGTATGACCTATCCTTGTTAGTAATACTTTGACAAAACTCATACATTACAAAGTGAATACTCTGAAATGGGATATTCATACTCAATTGAGTGGTGTAAGATTTATAGAATGCCCAGATTCCTTCTTGCTTCCAGATGTTTTTGGCAGCGTGCAGCATATTATTGTATGGGCTATTGTACATTTGAAGTCTTTGTTTCACCACTGGAAGACAATTTACATGAGTTAATGAAAATGGTGATCAACAGACATAACTACCATCAAAATTGGAAATGTGATATACATACCATCAACTGGTGTCATTACAGAGTCATGAATTATGGTGGCAACGCTCCCAGCAGCAACTAAAATAATAAAAATAAAATGTTTAGTATATTTTTAAAAGACTCTAAATTTTTGAATTTACAAATTTGATATGTGCATGTCTACTTACAGTAGGCAAGGTGGTTGTTTAAAGTATTTCTGTGTGTGAGAGTTTCCTTGACAGCCTCATAGCATGAGAAATAGAGGGCATGAGCTGGGCCAGCCCCACACACTACTGGACCCATTCCACGAACCATTCGATTTACACCCTCCACTCGCACCATTCGTGACAACACACCCGTGACACTTTGGACGTGGCCCGCATTTGGTGTTAGACTCTGCATGCGGGTCTGAAACAAAGATAGATTGAATATTATATGAGAACTATAATTATTTAGTTATTATTCAAATGTCGGAGGAAACCGCAAATCTATGAATTACATTGAAATTGTTTTCTGAATGCAAAATCCTGAGGAGAATGGTAAACTAGCAGGGTGAGAGAGAATGTAAGGCCAGATATATTACTTCACATGATATTAAAAATAAGATGTTTATTGAAAAGACTGAAACTAAGAAATTGAAAAGAGCAAAAGGTGTGAACAACTAACACCTGAAAATACTGAAGCAACAGTCTGTTAATGAAACTTCTAAACAAATTCAAGATTCCGTTGAGGAGAAATCTGATATTAAAAAATGTAGTAAAAGCAGAAACCTAACCTAACTTTCACATGCAAACTGAGATTTATGAAGCTACATAGAAGAGATTGGCAATGCAGTAGTGAAAATAATTTCACTAATACATAAAAACATGTAATTTGATAAACTAATGGACAAAATGTGAAAATTTGGAAAATAAGGGGAAAAAAAAAGAAACTAAGTTAAAAGTTTAAAAACTTCATAGATGAAAAAAATTGCATTGATTTACTGAAAATAGCAAACTAGAAAGGCAAATAGAACGAGAAATAATTGGGTGTCATTAGATTGTGTTGTGATTGTCAGATGATTGTGCAATCAAAAATATTCTGGCACTGGGCCTCCGGGACTACTAATCTTTACCGAGCCGACGCTAGGTTTTCTTAAAATGAAATAATTTTTTTTTGTGTAAGCTGGGAAAACAAATGTCCAAATTTACGGAAATTTTAAGCCAAATTGGTTTAGAGATTGGTAGATTCAAGGAATGAGTCAACTAAAAGTGAGGTTCAAAGCCACGGAGCAGACTCCATGGGCTATGGCCTACACAAAAGGGAGAGCGTTTAGAGTAGGTTAGGAATGTAAAAAGTTGTAAAAACCATGCATAAACATACCTTGACAGAGTCCAAGGGGTACATTATGCAGTGTTCCATTACCCCAGCGATGGCTCCAGCCATCATATGGGTTGAAACACTGGCGGTCGGGAGCTGTTCATAGTCATCAAAGTCCATAATAAACGGTTATTTCTAGTTGACACTCCAGATCTAATATGCAACACCCTCCTCTAGTACGTCTACTTCTTGCTGCAAACAAAAGCTTCTGCTACTTTCCGAATTTTTCACACCAAAACTAAGAAATTTTCAGCAGCATGCTCCTCTCGGCATGAAGAATTTCAGCCGAGCCCCGAGTTGCGCTGTCTCGCTCTCTCGGCCGTCACAGCCTCCTTGATAAGTCCATACAGCAAACGAGGTCAAGATCGCGAAGCGAAAGTATTGTGATTTAAGGATCGTTTCGCACGTCCGAGTGGCTAGGGTGAGCAATGGAAAGACTAGAATTCATACTGTGGCACGGAAAAGACGCGCTGCAAAGGCGTGCGAGGTGAGAGAAGGTGGGAAGTGGACGGAGAGAGAGAAGGGGAATGAATGAACACGGTGAGCGGCGGAACGTTCCGTCCACCGCGACCAAGGCGCCGCCCACGCCGCGGGCCCGTTTGACTGGCGCCGTGTCGCGTGGCGTACCTCGGATCAAAATGTTCGAAAACTCTGAGGGGGGCATTGCGGTAATATAGGTTGTTTCGTCTCTGCGCGTTTCGAGAAGAAACGCAGGAAATCAGGGCCGGAACCGCAGTGCGTAAAGTTTGCTGAATTTTCTCTTTGACCACAGTAATTCCATTTCATGTGCATTGGTTCCAATGGTGATTTCCTCATTTCTTCTGAAAACAAGGACAGCCGGAACCGTATTATCATTGCTGTGCGTGTTTTCGATCGCTGGAAAGACGAGCAGGATAAGCATTATTAAACTGCGAGGTCCACTTGGGCAACTAACTGGCTACTTTGCTACAGCGACCCCTCACCCTTAATGTCTTTATTCGCAAGGTCGTAATACACGCAGCAGCCCGTGTGCCTAGCCCGGGCCCAGGACCGTGGTCCAGCCAGCGGCCAGTGTGCCGAGAGGCACTGTACTGTCCTCTCCTCCCTTTATTGCTGGAATGATAGGAGTCCAGCGAGCGCGCCGCGGGTGGCGACGGCCGACCCGGAAAGGGGAGGGAAAGGGGAGAAGTCGAGGCGGGGTGGGGGGGGGGAGGGGCATCTCTCCTCGGCCGGGAGGTGTGAGAACTCTCCGTGGGGTGCTGGACATTGCACAATGGGTACGATGAGACCAGCTCATCTCGCTCCCTCTCTCTCACACACACGCACACTGAGGCCATCAGTGCGTTGGGGGCGCGATTTATAGCCCGTGCTTGCTTGGGTTGGGCTTCCCTTCCCTCCCTCTCTTGCTGTCCGAATCTGCCAAACCCTGCAAGTGTGGGTTCTAGGTGCGAGTCTAGTCATCCGTACTGTCGCACTGCAGTCACAAACTCTCTCCTGTAGACTGTCTCTCGGTGTTTTTCTTGGTGACCTGACCATCGCGCGCGGCATGGTATACAAGTATCGCATTGCGCTTCATACAGTGAGCACAATAACGCGGGGAGATACCACGAGCAGACTATACTTGTGGTAACCAACGGAACTACGTCCAAAGGTGCATACGTCTCAAGCCCCGACGCTAAAACGTAAGTTGCATTTAAAGTAGTTGGAGGGTTCGGCGAGCGAGAAAAAGACACGAGGCAGTACTCCTATCACGCTGGGGCAGCACCGAGAGGGCAGCACGGGCTTGGTTGGGCGCGTGGCGCGGGGGGCACCGCCACCTGCTGACCTGACCGCGGTCAATGCGAGCCGGCCGCCACGCCGCCGCCGGGGCCGCCGCGGCCGCCGGGGCCCCGCTCCACGTGGCGTGGCCCGTGGCTTGGTCCGCGGCTAAAAGCTCATCGCACTTGATCATGCCGCGGATGCTCTCGAGGAGGACTCGCGGCTCGCCACGGCCGGGTCTTTGCCTGGCCGGGTCTGGCGCACTCCTGGCTCGAGTCGCTCGATCGCTCAGCCAAACCCGCCGCCCGCCGCCGCACCTCCTGCGGGGGACCGCGGCCGCGTGACCTTGAGGCGCAAAAGCTGCGAGGTTCGCGCGGCGGAGGGTCCCCGAGGCCACCAAGGCCACGGGCGTGCTCGCGCGTCGCGCCCAACTGGTGCCAGCCAGAGGCAGCCCTGCCCTGCGCAGGCGCGGGCGAGACGCGCGCGCCTGCCTCTTGCGTCTCATGTTTGCTCGATACTCCTCGGAATACCTACGTCTCGTACCTTATAGCCCCCCCCCCCCCATTCCACCCACATAGACAAGGAGGAGTTGCTGCGTCGATGCGTCCACCTCGCACATCTCCTTGGGTCTCCCTACGGGCAACAGCTGAAGACGCATCCGGGGAGGCCAATTTCTAAAGCGACATTCTCGACAACTGTCACAATATCGCGATCCGCAATAGGAAGACGCTCGACTAGCAGCCCTCCCCCGGCACTCGAGGAAAAAAGGGGCCTCCTCGGGCATTTCTCCGGTTTGATCGGCATAGTCCAGCCTCTGCGAATGTCCGCAGGGGGGCCCCCGTCCACGCCGCACTCTTCTTCCCCCGCCCCGCCAGCCACAAGACCCCCCTGCGGGCCCCCCGCCACGCTGACCAGACGGGACCAGAGGGGGGAGGGGAGGTCTTCCCACTCCTGTCGCCTCTGTTGACCTAATCGTAGCCCCGCTGCCTCGGTCCTTTGTGGCGCGGGCCTCGTCGCAGCCAAACATTTTGAGCCCCTGTCGCAACAAATCGTATCCTGCTTCCGGCTGATGAGTCCGCTGCACCCCGGGGGCAGGCCGGAGCAGGCAGGCCGGAGGCAGGCCGGGGCGGGGAGACGTCCGGGGGCTTCGCAGGGGGCCCCCGGGGGGCCGGCGTGGGAGTGTCGCCAGCTAATCGCCGTGCCAATGGGCCTGCTGCCTGCTGCGATGCCCGCGTCGCGGCCCCCGGCCCTCGGCCCGGCCTGGCAAGGCGCGCAGTCATCGTGGCTTTGGCGCGGCGCGGCGGGGCGTTCTGTGCAGCTCGCCTCGGCCGACCCGGGCCCGGGCCGATGGGCATTCTTCAAACGCGCTAAACAGTTTTCTGCCGCTGCGTGTGTAGACGTCTGGCCGCGTTGTCTCCTGTACGCGCCCCTCCCGCGGCCGAGCAGCAGTTGTTGAGTCGCGCGCATCGAACGGTCGCCGCCGCGGCTCCCGGCGGCGCGGGCGCGGGGCGCGGGCACCGTCCTCCACAGGCCGCGGCGCCCGCCCGCACAAGGGTTGTGGATCATCGATTGCACTCTCTATTTCCGGCCCGTCGCGAGGTCGTTGAAGGTCGCTCGAGGCCGCGCGGGAAACGTGGTCACGCGATGCCGCCGGGACATGCGCGTTCAATAAGTTATGCGAGTGTTTCCGGGTAAAATAAAAATCAATCCGCGCTGCTGCAGGCAAAACAAAGGAGCGCGCGACAATCCCTCTTCTTTTGTGTTTTTATTATTTTTCAGTCGATCGTTACACTTTCTTCTAACCAATTGTTGATGTTCTCTGCTGGCGGTGAAATCGATCGCAACGATGATAGTGCCATAGCGCCTCTCTCGCCAACCCTCGCGTGCAGACCCACGCGCCCCGCTCAAGGTGGGGTGAACCTGCGAGCGAACAAAACCGTGACGACGACGACGGCGCGGCAAACGCCATGAGAACTTGTTGCGTAGTGGGGCCGGGGCTGCGCGGGCGGGGCTCCCCGGGCGAGGGGGGCGGGG